TTTAGCGGTGACAGAGGGGCGTGTAGGCTATGGGCGTCATCTACAGTTCATATAGCTCACTCTGTTTAACTGATCAAGTCATGAATGGGTCGAAATGAATGCTGTAGGCTACTCCTTATAACCAGGGATAAATTAATCGTAACGTTTTAGCTGCGTTTGATGTCCCTAATGTTAGATAGCCAGATATTGTTAGCTGGCTAGCCAGTTACTTTGTAACGTAACTTTAGCTGGTCACAGCCAGGTGTAACTGGGCGTCTAACGTTACTAATGTTCATTCATCTCAGACTGTTTAGCGAATCAAGTCATGAATGGTTGACTTAAAATGAAATGAAATCGAAATGAAAGCTAAAAATTAGAAAATTAGAATTTGATTGTTTTATGTTTTCACTGAAATCGGTAAAAAAAAAAAAAAAATAGTAACTGACATGTTTAAAATATTTTGATATCATTTTTGAATCCCCTGTTACCATTAATGTAACACTCTGTTTTGTAATATTGTATGCTATGCTTTGTTTGTTACTTGTTATTTAATAATAAAGAATAATAATAATAATAATAAAATAATAATGCATTTACACATTACACATGTAAGCTGTTCTAGTTAGTAAACCTTAACAGCTGCTAAGAGCGCTACTGTTCTAAAGCTAAAAAACACTAATATGATTTTGTTTCTGTTAAGGGCAAGGTGTGCAAGGAGACATGTCCCAGGCAGTGTTCCAGCCTAACAGAACAAAGAAAACTGCAGCTCTTCACAGAGTTTTATGCTGTCTCTTATGAGAGGCAGCAGGCGATCATTCTCTCTGGTTTGGAGCAGGTAGGCTAACTTAAGCAATTCATGACCATATCATGTCAACTGTATGCAATGCATTATAATGTTGGCCCATGAAATAACCAGTGAATTGAATATTACTGTATACCTTAAATTCACTAAGACTGCACATGTGCCTGATCACTGTAAATGTTACATTTTGTGAGGATGGATGAATGATGATCGGCATCAAGTAGGCCACCATGTGCATTACAGACCACAGCGCTTTGGTGCCCTAAAAGGCATAACATGGCTTATTCATTATCCTTACCAAAGCCTACTCACATACTTAAAGGGAAACCTCCACGTTTTCCCTATTTAAATACAGTTACACGAGTAGTGTAACACGACCTAGGACAGTGACACAAAATAAAACGTTGCGCTTTTCTAAGTGTGTAAAGTGCAAAACTATATTGTATGGCGGAATACCACAGCAAGTGCTTGGGAGAAATTCGACTCGACGCATATATATCCCCCAGGGATAATATCATCACTCTGGAGAGGACTTTTCATGAGTGATGATATTACTACGTCAACTACAGTCAAAGTGCTGGTGGAGGTGTTTGGACCACGTTGATATAGTTAAGGGAATATCAGTTTAATATGAAAAAACAGTGGAGTATCCCTTTAATGACCTTAACTTGACAGCTCTACATGACGGCTAGCCTGCTACGCTATGGTAAATGTATTTTTACTTCATGTCTTTTTACTTCTAGCACAAGGTGAGTCGCAGACGACCACGTGGGCCTGACACTGAGATTACCAAGAGGAAGTACACCTTCAAGTACCATGTGCAACAAGGAGGCCAAAGACTTGCTGTTTGTAAGCTCACATTTATGTCAGTCTTTCAACTGACCAACAGTCGCCTACAGGCAAGTTTTATATAGCTTAGTGTTTTACTTTTGTTAATTTTCAATTATGCATTAATTAGATACATTGTCCATAACATATTTATTTAAAGTTACTTATCTTTGAAAAGGTTATTCAAGAAAAGTTAGGCAGTCAGTCAGAGTCAGAGGGAACAGAGCAGGTAGCTAAAGTCAGGTCTCCATTAGAGGACTTCAGAGGAACACATAAGAACAGGTGAGTAAAAAAAAAAAATCATGAAGGACCTCATGCTCTCGTCCTCATATTTTTTTTAAAGCTGCACCATTGTCAGCATCTGTTGCCTTACAACATTCCCTGGTCCAATGGTACACTGGCATTATAGGGTGTCGGGTGCCTTGCCACCTTATAACGCCAGCGTGCACGTACCGTAGTGGTTAGGATTCAGCTCACTGTTGTTGCCCAGTCAGGAAACAAATTTTTGCACTTTGAGATTGATATCAGAGGCAAAGTGCTATGCAAATGTAATGTATGATTAATTTTTGTATCTTTACAGTATGTGGATTTTTTAGGGATACTTTAGATCTGGAAAAGTGTATTTAAAATGGGTCATTTATGTAGTAGAAATGTGAAATTATGTTTGAATTTGGAGCTTTCTAGACTGAGAAAAGCCAGAAAATGTATTTTTGATTTATGGGGATGAAAGACAACAACTCCCAAATTGTAATGCTAAAACATACATCAATCGATCACATATTTAGTAATCACACAAACACTACATTCAGATTCACAAATCGGAATAAATTCAGTTTGATTGAAACAAAAGGTGTGCATGTAATCAATGACGATTTTTGCTTTATCAGAGGATTTTTTCCAGACAAAAAATACATAAATCTCTCATCTCAGGGGTATATGAGGGAGGAAAGCATGGTAATTCAAAATACTAAAAAGAATTTGGTTTAATTAATGATCCAAAGCTTAATGCTAAATCCTGAAATATCGCTTTAATGACTGTATGTGAAAAACAAAATCCTATAGTTTAGAGGAAAGTTAAGAATTATGCATTTATTGTGACAGAAACAATGTAATTGTGCAAAACAGACCAGCATAGTTTATTATATTTCCCTTGTTCATGAGTTGTGTTTATTTTTTAGGCCTCATAGCATTCATCCTGCAGTGAGAGAGGGGATAAGAGAGCATATTTTGAGCTTCCCACGCCAACCGAACCACTACTCACGGATGAAGGGAGATGTGGAGAGGGAATACCTGAGCCCTGATTTAAACCTGCTCCGCATGTTCCGCCTGTACAAGGAAAAGAATCCAACATCCACTGCAAAGTTCTGGCTCTATAGGGACATCTTCAAGCAGCAGAACCTCTGTTTTGGGCAGCCAAGAAGTGACACTTGTGCTAAATGTGATGCCCTGTTCTCAAAATTAACAGCTGCTACATCAGATGGAGAAAGGTTGAAGATCGCAGCCGAGAGTGAGCTTCACCACCGAAAAGCTGAAAAAGCGTACACACAGTTGCAGGCTGACACAGAGTGGGCCAAAGCCAATGATGACTGCCATGTCATTTGTATCGACATGCAGGGGGTAGTGTTCACACCAAACCTGACACACTCCAACGTGTACTATCAACGACAGCTGGCCAACTACAACCTCTGTATCCAGGAGATGGGGACTGATGATCCTCCTACAATGTGCCTTTGGCATGAGGGCATCGCTCACAGAGGTTCCATCGAGGTGGCAAGCTGCCTTTTAAAGTGGGCAGAAACCTCTTTCACCCCCCTAGTCCAGGCAAAGGAACGGAAGCTCATCGTCTATAGTGACCGATGCTGTGGGCAAAACAATAACTGGCGAGTGCTAAACCTGATGGCCCTGCTTGTATCTAGAGGCTACTTCAGTCAGATAGAGCAGAAGTTCATGGTGTCTGGTCACTCCTTCCTTCCCTGTGACCGTTCCTTTGCCACGTTGGACAAGAGGCGCAAGGTATCCACACTCCACACCCCCAGCGATGTAGCCGAGATGATCCGTGGAGCCAGGCAGCAGCATCCATTTAAAGTCATTGAAATGAAATGTGCAGACTTCAGGCAGCTCCCTGATGCAACATTAAAGCGTCCACCTGGCTTCCTAATTACATCCATGATGTGGTTGAAAGTGACAGGTAAAAAACTAAAAGTTTTTCTGAGATTAACAGTGTTGGGGATATGTGCATGAAAGAAGAATCTTTAGTGAATTTCTTGTCGAATCATGATTTCAGCTGCTGATCCATGGTGTGTCCAGACAAAAGAGAGCCACAGCCTCTACGAGGGATGGAAGACCTGGCTGATCACAAAACAGAGGAAGAATCATCCACCTCCAGCTCCCTTGTTCTCCACCACGTATGCTCGTGCTTACGAGGACCCTCTGCCCATCAAGAAGGAGAAGCACCGTGACCTAATGAAAATGCTTGCCTACATGCCAGTGGGGGCTCAAGCATTTTATGAGGCATTAGAATGTGAAGAGTAGTCTGGGATGTGTTGTGCAGGGTAAGGTGGGTGTGGCGAACAGGACGAGAGATGTGAGAGAACGATGCAAGGCCGGTGGTGCGAATGTTACTGAAGACGAATGTTAAAACTCTAACTTTTTATTTTTATGATTGATACTAAAAAATCTTATCTCATTAGAATTGTGAAGCTTTTGTTGTCTATCTTCAAGTAAAAAAATAATAATAATATAATATTCAGAGTCCAAATTTAAAAAAAACGTTATTATTCAAAATGTGAAAAAATGGACTTATATAGTTCTTCGTCTCAAGCCCTCAAATGACACTTTACACTATTATTACAAAAACAACAGCTACTCTAATTTGGAATAATATTTCACATTTTGTACTGTATTTTTGATCAAATGAATGCAGCTTTCAAAAACATGAACACAATATAAGAGCATAATAGTAGAAATGCAAGATCATTTTAAGAATACGGCAGCTATTGCTTTCTGATAAAGTCTTCCATATCATTGAAACATAATCCTGCATGTCAAACTCTTTAGTCAATCTGAATACACAGGCCAGAATAGCCAAAACATCCACCATTATATTCGCAGGATGAAGCATTTAAAACAAAGGCCGAATTCTGAATGGCAGAAATAGTACTAGTAAACTTTTCCGCATCAAGCTCAATATGTGCATTCTTTGCATCTTCAAAAAGGGTGCAAAAACAAGGACAATTGAATCTTAGGAACAAATGGAAACACCCAGTTGGATAAACTCCACACTCATGCAAGTCTGGAGAATCATGACTGTTAATGAAAGGGGAGGGATTATCGTTAATTAGCCAAAATCGGTAGAGTACAAAAAACCAAAGGGCAGCATCTCAACAGTGTGACTAGCTGTTGGACAATGGCAGGGAGTTGGTGTGTTGCTCAGACTCTGGCACTTTGTGTTTGGTTCTGTGCTTTCTGTCATGCTGGTCCAAAGTGGAGTAATCTGCACCAAAGTCCTCAAGCTCTGATGTTCCAGCAAACTGACCCGAGGTTTCAACAGCAAGCTAGTCAGCAGTTTCCTCAGTCAGTTCAAGCTAGTCAACAGTTCCCTCTGTCAGTTCAACGGCAAGCTAGTCAACAGTTTTCTAAGCCAGTTCAACAGCAAACTAGTCAGCGGTTTCTTCAGTCTGTTCAACAGCAAGCTAGTCAACAGTTTCCTCAGCAGTTTCCTCAGTCAGTTCAATGGCAAGCTAATCAACAGTATCCTAAGCCAGTTCAACAGCAAGCAAGTCAACAGTTTTCTAAGCCAGTTCAACAGCAAGCTAGTCAACAGTTTTCTAAGCCAGTTCAACAGCAAGCTAGTCAACAGTTCCCTAAAACTGTTCAACAGCAAGCTAGTCAACAGTTCCCTCAGTCTGTTCAACAGCAAGCTAGTCAACAGTTCCCTCAGTCTGTTCAACAGCAAGCTAGTCAACAGTTCCCTCAGTCTGTTCAACAGCAAGCTAGTCAACAGTTCACTCAGTCTGTTCAACAGCAAGCTAGTCAACAGTTTCCTCAGTCAGTTCAAGCTAGTCAACAGTTTTCTAAGCCAGTTCAACAGCAAGCTAGTCAACAGTTCCCTCAGGCTGTTCAACAGCAAGCTAGTCAACAGTTCCCTCAGTCTGTTCAACAGACTAGTCAACAGTTCCCTCAGTCTGTTCAACAGCAAGCTAGTCAACCGTTTCCTCAGCAGTTTCAGCCGAAACAGCCAGTGGGAAAGGCAGAGCCCGTTGACAAATGTGCTGTTGCTGATTATGAGCAGATCCAGTGTGGACCACCTGGTATCAGTGGTGCTGAGTGTGCAGCTATTAACTGCTGCTTTAACGGACTGCAGTGTTACTATAGGAAGGCTGGTAAGAGTGTTGAGTCAATGTAAGAGTGTTGAGTCAAAACCTTGTTCCAGTGACTGTCCAGTGTATAAGAGATGGTCAGTTTGTGGTCGTGGTGGCTAGAGATGTCACGCTGCCTCGTTTGAGCCTGGATTCAGTCCGTCTCCTGGGTGGAGATGATCCAGCTTGCGGTCCTGTGGGATCCACACCTTTCTTTGCTATATACCAGTTCCCTGTCACTGTGTGCGGCACGAGCATGATGGTGAGTAGCTGCTTGTGGTTTTGTTCTGCATGGCTTAAAGTGGACTGGATGCCAACAGTGTTACTATTTGCAGGAGGACAGTGGATATGTGGTGTATGAAAACAGAATGACCTCCTCGTATGAAGTGGGTATCGGACCACTTGGTTCCATCACAAGGGACAGCCATTTTGAGTGGGTGACGTATGCTTCAGCAGGTTTGTTAATCCTTGGCAAATGCTACAAGCTCACTGTTTGTTTTCCAGGCTTCTCTTCCAGTGTAGGTACTCCAGTACTTCTGTGGAAGCTCTGGTTGTGGAGGTCAACACTGTTCCTCCACCTCCACCAGTAGCTGCTCCTGGACCCCTCAGGGTGGAGCTTAGGCTAGCAAATGGTCAGTGTGTCACCAAAGGCTGTGCAGAAGGTAAGTATTTGACCCAAGTGTGTGCTTAAAGCTTTTCCAAAGCTCCAGTTTGCAGTGGTTTCTGGTTAAACACTGTTCTTCCTCAGGGGATGAGGCGTACACTTCCTACTACAGTGATGCTGATTATCCTGTTACAAAAGTCCTGCGGGAGCCTGTGTATGTTGAGGTGCACGTTATGGAGAGGACCGACCCCAACATTGTCCTGATGCTGGGACACTGCTGGACGACGTCAACCCCCAGTCCACTCAGTCTACCCCAGTGGGACCTTCTGGTTGATGGGTGAGTAAGGCCAGTCTTTGTCCATCTAGTGTGCTGTAAGGTGTTTCTGATTCCCTCTTTTCCTTTCAGATGCCCTTACCAGGATGATCGTTACCTGACCACATTGGTTCCAGTGACTGGATCGTCTGGTCTTCAGTTCCCAACCCACTACAAGCGCTTTATTGTGAAGATGTTCACATTTGTTGATCCATCGTCACTGGCTCCTCTGCAGGAAACCGTATGCTCCGCAGCCTTACCTCAACCCTTAATATTAGTGCTTTTTATAGTGATTTCTATGGCTAAACCTTTTCTCCCTCTGTTAGATCTTCATCCACTGTAGTACAGCAGTGTGCCATCCCTCTTCTGGCTCCTGTGAGCAAAGCTGCACTAGGAAAAGTGAGTGCTCGCTATAAACCGACTTGGGAACCGTGGGAATTTGGTTTTTAAGTGCTCCTCATGCTTCTACCACTTCTTCTCTTACAGGAAGGGACACTCCCATCAAGACCATCTCTAGTGGGCAAACTGTGGTGTCTAGTGGAGAAGTTAACCTGGTCATGTCAATTTAGATTTAATAAATTGGTGTTGATGTTCAATGAGTCGGCTCTTGCGTGACTGTTCTTGGTTTTATTTACTGGGCCACACAACTAAAGTTCCATTTGTGCTTTAGCAGGGTTGTTCATTCTGATTGGTGCTTGATTTGAACTAAACAAGCCAAACTTCTGCCCAAGCCTTTTCACTGAACTTCTATGCAAGCTCCAGTTGCAAACCTGGGTTCCTATGCTTCTGTAAAGCTCAATATTTTATATACAGTAGCAGGGTGCAGACTTTTTCTCGCAGATTATTTTGCCAAGGAATAACATGATGGTAATTGTGACTTATTTCACAATTGTGAATTTCTTGGAATTATGAATTGCAGTATTTCTGGTGACTAGACCCTGCATATGTGTAGATGTTCTTTTGATTTTTGTGTTCACATGAAAGTCCCATAATTTGGATAATCATTATTATTCTCATTTGAGACATTTCTTTTATCAGTTTAAACATCATTGTGCTGCCCTACTTGTTGTGTGAAGGGCTTTAAATCCCTTCATTGCATTGAAATAATCCATTTCCAGATGTCTTGTGACGCTTGTTCGTCTGCATCTACGGACCATAATGAACATGGTCAGGGAAGTGAGTTGCAATCTCAGTCACAAACTCAATGCTGGCAGACTGTGGCAAAGCATTGATAGTAATCAATGTTTCTTGAGCAGCAAATTAGCATATTAGAATGATTCCTAAAGGACCATGTGAAACTGAAGACTGGAGTAATGATGCTGAAAACTCAGCTTTTATCACAGGAATAAATTTGCCTGGGTTTCCCCATGCTGCCTTGCTGCAGGATGATTTTATTCACGCTGCTTGGCAGCCTGGACCCCATGAACCAAATTTTTCTCTTAAATAGGGAAACAATCACAGAATGGGGAGGGAGCACAGGTGCATTTGATAGACATTCGTAGCACCCAATAATACGGCTTTGGGCATTTGTGAACCACGCCTCAAATACGAGAAAATGAACATATGGTTTCCAGACCACGTCTCATTCTAAATGATACGTGGTCTGGCGTTAGCCAGTATAAGAATAAATGACACTTTACACTATTATTACGAAAACTACTGCTATTTTAATTTGGAATAATATTTCACATTTTGTACTGTATTTTCGATCAAATGAATGCAGCTTTCAAAAACATGAACACACTATAAGAGCATAATAATAGAAATGCAAGATCATTTTAAGAATGCGGAAGCTAGTGCTTGCTGATAAAGGCTTCCATATCATTGAAACATAATCCTGCATGTCAAACTCTTTAGTCAATCTGAATACACAGGCCAGAATTGCCAAAACATCCACCATTATATTCACAGGATGAAGCATAAAACAAAGGCCGACTTCTGAATGGCAGAAATATTACTAGTAAACTTTTCCGCATCAAGCTCAATATGTGCATTCTTTGTATGTTCAAAAAGGGTGGAAAACCAGAGGGCTGTTTCACAAAAGCCGAATTTAGAAATCCAGGATAAGAGATAAAGCTGGGCTTGACCTAGTGTGATCAGTACATCCTGGCTTTATCAGTTTCACAAAGGTCAAACCAGGCTCTGGGGCACGTTCTTCGTAAGTCGCTAACTCAGTTAGCTGGATTTGATTGTTGGCTATTTAGCATGAACTTGGATCATTTGGTTCTTCGACACTCATCTTGGACTTGCTGTCATAGCAACAGGTGCGCTAGCATGAACCTGCTCGCGAGCAGGCTTATTTCAGGTTAACAGGATTAGATCGCGGCTTTATAAGCGGAGGTGAAACGGGAAGTCTTTTATCGCAGCGCAATAGTGTACTTTTTGAGAGATAGCATTTTTCTTATGACTTGTGAGGATGGCGTTTACATCAATAATTTGTTGTAAACACATAAATGTTTAACATGGGTTTTAATAACAGTGCATGCAAGTTACTATTGCGATCCTTATCCAGTTTTGTAAGATTATATCAAATTTTATGAAGGCAGTTGACTGACTAATCTCTGAGATTGTGTGTGACTATGTGCCATATCACAAATATGGCCAGCATCTGTGCATGATTCAAGAATTTACAGAGATTTATTCACATTATTTGAACGTAGTAAGGAAAAATATATCAAGCTCACTGTATTACATACACTTACACATGCTTATCCTAACAGAACGTCTCGGTTACGGATGTAACCCTCGTTCCCTGAGTACGTCAGAAGTGACGGAGATTGGGGGTTTCGCATAGAAAGCCAATCCTCTTCGAGTATTTAATCACGAGCCAATGGCATTAAATGCCTTGGGGCTGCGGAAATTTGCATAGCGTACTCCGCCCTACTCGGTGAGTATAAAAGGAGGAAGTGAAGGCAACCGCAGTATGTCTTTGCTGAGGAGCCAAGACTGAACTCAGGCGTCTACCCAGCGGTACAGCAGAAGTGGCAGGGAGACGTAACGTCTCCGTTCCCTACTCAGGGAACGAGGGTTACATCCGTAACCGAGACGTTCCCTTTCGTAGTCACTTCGAGTTACGTCAGAAGACGGAGATTGTAAGTCAATGCCATCACGCCATTTTACAGCTGTCTTCCAGTGCCCTGCGAAAGTCTAGACCCCTGAACTTAGGTATCACCAGGAGATCCTACTTTGACACAGGAATACCAAGGTACACTGGGAAACATATCCCGGGAGGGACATGCTACCAAATGCCTACCGTAGGGAGGACTTACGAATACACATATGGCCGCATAGGGATGCATATGGCGATCACTGGAGCACCAACCGCAGGTGGTACTAGAATTAACTCCAGGGGTGGCAGATGGCTTGCCAAGGGAAGACACATGCTCAGAGAGGCTTACAGTGGAAAATACACATGAGACAGTTACCATAGGGAACGTGCACATGGAGGCACCTAGCCGGCATCCAGAGCAACAGCAGTGGTGCCCGCATCATGGGTGCTGGAGGACTCAAGGCTTCAACGGAAGACTACTGAGGAATATCGCACTTATCCAGTCCGAGGAGTGGAATGGCGAGCAAGCGAAGACACCTAAGCGGGTCAAGTACTGGCGGAAGCAAGTACGCGAGAGGACACCGGTTCGACTCGCAGATTATAGAATCTCGCGAAGGTGTTTGGTGTCGCCCAGCCTGCAGCTCTGCAAATGTGTGTTAGCGAGGTGCCATGCGCTAGAGCCAAAGAGGAGGCCACACTCCGAGTGGAATGGGCCGTCACACCAAGGGGGCACGGACGGCCTTGCTGCTGGTAAGACAAAGCAATGGCGTCCACTATCCAGTAAGACAGCCGTTGCTTTGAGAGAGCCCTTCCCTTCTGGCTCCCCCCATGACAGACAAAGAGCTGGTCTGAGGTCCTGAAACACCGCGTTCTGTCGACGTAGGTGCAGAGTGCACGTACTGGACAGAGCAGTGCCAAGGCTGGGTCTGCCTCCTCCAGGGGCAGCGCTTGCAGGTTCACCACCTGGTCCCGGAAGGGAGTGGTGGGAACCTTGGGCACGTATCCAGGCCGGGGTCTCAAGATCACGTGAGAGTAAGCCGGCCCGAAACTCCAGGCACGCTTCGTCAACTGAGAATGCGTGCAGGTCCCCCACCCTCTTGAAGGAGGCCAATGCAACCAGGAGTGCTGTCCTCATAGGACAGAACTTAACTCTACCGATTGCAAAGGCTCAAGGGGAGGCCTCTGCAGAGCACTTATATCTACTGAGAGGTCCCAAGAGGGCACGAGGGGAGGGTGAGGCGGATTTCGCCTCCACGCTCCCCTCGGGAACCTGATGACCAGGTCATGCTTCCCATAAACTTACCTTTCACTGCATCATGAGATGCGGCAATGGCCGCGACATGAACCCTAAGGGTGGAGGGCGACAGCCTAAGCTCCAACCCTTCTTGCAGGAAGGAAAGCACGACCCCGATCGAACATCTCTGGGGGTCTTCTCCGCGAGAAGAGCACCAGTTGACGAAGAGGTTCCACTTCAACGCATACAGGTGTCTCGCATACAGAGTGGACGACGCTCTAGCGGAAGTGATGGTTGCTGCCACCGCAGGTGGCAGCGAACTCAAACCTGCCCCCTCCCGTCCAGGAGCCACATGTGTAGCCTCCAAGATCGGGATGAGGGTGCCACAGAGTGCCCCGTCTCCGAGTGAGTAGATCTTGTCTCAGAGGAATAGGCCAAGGAGGTGCTGTCGCGAGGAGCATGAGTTCAGAGAACCACGTCTTGGTGGGCCAATAGGGGGCTACCAGCAAGACCTGCTCCTCGTCCTCCTTGATCTTGCACAACACCCGTGCAAGAAGGCTCACTGGGGAAAACGCATACTTGCGTGGGCCCCGCGGCCAGCTGTGCGCCAGTGCATCTGTGCCGAGTGTGCCCTCGGACAGGGAATAAAACTGGCCGCAGTGGGATGAGTCCCGGGAGGCGAACAGAAGTATCTGTGCCTCCCCGAACTGGTCCCAAATCAGCTGGGCCGTCTGGGGATGGAGTCGCCATTCGCCGGAGATAGGGCGGACCAGTGACTGCTCGTCGGCCGCCAGGTTCCGGACTCCTGGAATGTACACTGCACGAAGGGACCTCAGGTGCTTCTGACTCCATATCAGGAGGTGGCGGGTGAGCTGCGACAACCGGCGTGAGCGTAGACCACCCTGGTGGTTGATGTACGCTACTGCAGCGGTGTTGTCTGAACGGACAAGTACGCGTTGACCCCTGAGCAGTGCTCGAAAGCGGTGCAGGGCCAGGCGTACTGCCAGCAGCTCGAGGCAATTGATGTGCATGAGGCGCTGGGGTCCTGTCCAGGAACCTGGGCTGCATGCCCATTGCACATGGCACCCCAACCCGTGGTAGATGCATCCGTGGAGACAACGAGATGCCTGGAAGCTCGCTGAAGAGGGACACCGGCCCGTAAAAAGGTGAGGTTCGACCACGGAGAAGGTTTGGCAGCACGCTGGAGTCACTGGTACTCGGAGCGAGCCGCGATGCCATGCCCATCTCGGGACTCGATCGCGAAGCTACAGCTGAAGCGGTCTATAAGAAGCAATCCGAGCGGCGTTGCCGCGGCT